GAGTTTATTATATTATTTATCATTTCTAGTCTTTGGTTTCTTTGTCTGTGTTCTGTCTTATGGTTCACGTCTCGGTTCCCTCTGTTGCAGTGCCTGCGTGTGAGTCTGTGTCTTTAGTTCAGTCTGTGTTGTTTCCTGTTTTATTTTGAAGGTCCATGTCTCATGTTAATGTATCTGGTTTTGCTTCCCCTTGTCTCGTTAGGCCTGATTTGCCCCAGCTATGTTTCCCTCCTGTTACTCATTCCCTGATTGCTCCCTCTGTGTATTTAAGCTCTGTGTTTCTCTATGTTTGTGTAGTGATCTACCCTTGTGCCATGCTGTGTGTTCTGTAAGTCTTTCTGTGTAGGTTTATTTTGATATGTCCAGTTATGTTACATCTGAGTTTAGCATTAAAGTTGTTTTGAGTTCAAGTTTTGCCTCTGAGTGTCTGCACCTTGGGTCCTTCTCCTGCCTGCACACAGCTGTTCCATAACCAATACAATACCACAGAGGATGAGAACTAAGGAGTCCAGCCTAAGTGAAAACCCGAATTTCCTTTTAATGTGTATTGATGGCTGTTCTGAGTTGTCGGTTTGTGTTTGTTTTCATAAATATAATTTAAAAAAATAATTCACCCACTTGAACACTGTAGTGCAGGGCCTGGCTGCTTGTAACGCTACTCGTTCATCCAAATCTAGTCAATTTTTAAAATAAAAAAAACCCCAAACAACAACAACAACAACTCGGTAGTGAGTAAACTAACCCTGATCTTTCAAAAAGCAAAATCTAAAACCAGAGAGTGACATTACGGTGACCAGTTTATCTTTTTATATAACTGTTTTAATGGTTTATGTTCCTCCATCTTTGTTAAATATCCACCTTTTTGGTCAGCTCATCAGCAGAGTTTTCAAAGTGTGGCTCACAGGCTAAAGTTGACCTTTGGTAATCTTAGGACAGCAGGAAGTAACTGTAGATCATTCATCCATTCATTGTCTGTGAAGGATCTCAGTCATCCAGGTCATCGTAGTCTAAGGAGCTTGGAAAGAAAAGCGTTCTTTCCAAGCTCACTCCTCAGTCTCAACCTACACAACTCAGAGAAGAACACACACCTGAGGACAGTCAAGAAAAATGGGTGAAGAACTTTTCGGACCGGAATCTCACTGAACCTGAAAAGAGGGTTTTAGCCAAAGGACTCAATTTTGCCATTTCTCTGCAACAGTTGCCCATGGTGGACCTCATCACAGCCACAGAATCTGCCATAC